TACAGTCGAACAGCAGAGTCTGTGCCTAAAACAAGCCTAGCTTCTGTTAATGCAACAGCACAGCCATAGCTAGCCCGTTCTCTAGGTTTTCCAAACTCTGAGTGACTCATTTTGCAACATTACCTTTGCTTTTAATATGTTTACTAGCTATACTGCAGGAATGCCTAGAGGCCACGACCAGATTCAGTCCTGTTGTGCTAGATTCTGCGTGCAGATTGTAAGTGGAGCAGGTAGAGGCATAAAGTTAAGGTTGCATAGCAGTTTGCATTAGAAAGACCTGCTTTCATTTGAGAGTCAGTTATTAAACTTTAACTGTTGCCGTTGTGGTTTGCCATGCTGTGTCTGTCTCAGACTGAATTTTTCCCTTCACAGCTGCAGCAAAAATTAATTCAAATAATCCCCAGGGTGAGATTAAGGCACGTGGCGGACCCTTGGCCTCTACTTAGCGAACAGTCTGTGTCCAGGAGGACACTCTCGACACCACAGCCCGGAGCAGCAGTTAGCAGTACAGGAAGCAGGGCTGGCCTGGATGATTCTGCCCAGTAGCATGTGACCAACTTTGCCTAAACTGCACGACTTTGAGGATCCCATTTTGCATGTGCCCAGCAAGGACATATTGAAGGCTGATAGTTTTCTCCCAGGAAGCCTGTGCCTGCCTGAGCAGTTGAAGCCATGCCAGAGCCTCTGTGCTGACCAGGCGGGTCGTGTACCATCCTCAGCGTAGACACTGTCCAAATCGTCAAGGGCTGAGCAGCAGGACACTGCCCACTCTTGCTTCCTGACTCCAGAAATGCAGGTATACTGACTTCTATTCTCATGTGCCTGCAGCAAGCAACAGAGAAGAGAAAGAAGGCGCCTCAGAGGTTCTAATCCCTGAAAGCAGACAGGAAGAGGGATGGAAGCAAAGGCAGACTGGGGAAGGAGGGCCAACTGGGCAGTGACAAGCTGAAGGGGATGGGGCAGGCAGGTCTGCAATTGCTGAAGGGCATTGACTGCAGAGACTGGACTTGAATTCAGTACTCATGGCCCAGCATAGTGAGACCAGTGAGACCACGGGCCAAGTGCTGAGGCAGATAAACACAGAGCTGTGATGCAACAATCTCCAGACATAAGGGAGAGATCAGGCTTCCTCCTGAAACTCTATTTCAGCGCCTGATAACGTAACCAGCAAGGTCCTGAGAGCTGTCAGTTGCTGAGGGTGCAGTGATACCAGGGGCATTACGAAGTGCACTTGCAATTAATATTTCTCATGTAGCTGGTGTGTTGGGCAGTGTATCTTGAGGGATGTTAAAGGAACATGCTAGATACCTGCAACGTGGGGGATGGAGCCTGATAAAATGGTATAGAGTGGCTCCCTGCAGGGAAAGCATGTTGGGAGGGAGAAATGTGCAGGGAGAGTACTGAACAGTGGAGGTCTGAGCCTCAAGTGGAAGCCATGGAAACTGCATTTGCACTAGGCTGAAAAACTGTGGAAGGTTATACATAGGATGCAGAAAGAGAGGAAGCCCCTGGAGGTCTAAGGGGCGGTAGAGTTATCACATGCAGCTTGGACCCTCACCCTTCCCATCTGGCTCACCCTGCAAGGGTGGCAGTTGTGAGAACTCTCAAACTGTATCTTGCTCAATGTGTGCAGTAGCATACAATATTTGCTTTATTTTGCTTGCAAACCTTGTTTCAAGTCCCTCAGCCTTCTCTGTTTCTTTGTTTTATGATTTGGTAAATGAACTTCTACCTTACTTAACTGCAAATCTCATGAGACAAAGTGAACCTGAGTGGAGCGAGCTGTCAGGGCCATGTGAAGTTGCCATTTCCCTCCTCCTGGTGGTTTGGCTCTCTGGAGTCAGAGCCAATTTAGGCAATGTGGCTGTCTGTCCTTGGGGGGGCTCAGCAAGGGCCTACCCCTCTTTGGCTAAGGATCTGCTTCTAAGCATGGGCTCTCACCTTTAGCCTCTGCCTGGAGGTACAGCTTGTGTCTGACCTTGTACATCCCTGATGCCAACATCAATCCTGACCCACTGACTTGACTTTCTGGCTTGCTCTGGGACTTCCTTGCCACTTGGAAGCTGGGGCTTGCTGGGGGATCATTTGACTATTGGTGACTCTGGTTACTGTCAGCAGATTTGCTCTGATCACTTTTCTTAGAGTTTTGTCGGACTTCATCCTTGTCAGTGAGACCACTGCCCCACCTGCCTTACTGCAATTCTTGCTTTGTGGCTTCCCGTCCCTACCAGATCATCCTTTCCTTGCTGTTCCTGGCATTGGTAAACTGAGAGTCAGTGTCTGCAGAGGGACAAGTGCTGCAGGTAACACAAGTGTGTGAGCAGGTAAGCAGAATCTTCTACTCGGGGACATATTTAGGGACTCGCAGCGTGTAAGCTACTGATTTGCAGAGGTCAGTGCGGCAACTTGCGTTACTGGTTTCAGGAAGGACTTGCCCTTTTGGGCATAGGCAATCATTCTCCCGTGTGAGAGCTGTAGTTCATTCCCCACCTCTCCGGGTTTCCCCAGCAAAGTCACATAAGACAGCAATTCCTTGTTGCTCTCAACCTTACTAACTTACATGATAGTGTAAGGTGTGAGTTGAAGGTCACACATAAAAGGTTAATTGACCAAGTGGTCAAATTGCAGCTGCTAAGGAATTAGGAAGTTGCTTGCACAGCCTTGATGCACAGCCTGTGCACTTTTGAGCACAGGTCTTCAGATCCAGTGACTTACACATGGCTATGCTTTCTTTTCCTCTATGGTCTAATGTGCCTTGGTAGCAGTAAAATGAACCCAAATTCTGCGCATGAAGATGACTTCAATGTGGAGGTTCCTTTCCCACAGAGCCATAAGGTGGATGGGACAGGAGAGTTGGGCCAAGGACAGATAAAACGTGGATGCTGACTTGCAGACTTTGAGTGTATTCCTTTTGGTGCCACAGCTGTTCTCTAAGGTGGGATTCATCCAAACGCTGTTCCCTGCCAGCCTCCTTCTCAGCCTGGAACCTGGGCCCTTGTCCTAGAGAAGGGGCTAGGTGGCCTGCGCCCTACAAGCACTTCTCTTCCTTGGTGATCCAAGCGCCATCAGTCAGCAGGAGGTGCCTGCATGGGAGTGGTGAGAGGGATCCCTCTTGCCAGGCCTCATCTTTATTTGAGCCTGTATGATTATTTTAGCATTAGTTTTTCCACACCTTTGTCTCTGGGGACAGTGCAGCTCTTGCCACAGAGGGCTGTTTCCTTGAGATTAGAAGGATGTACCACAGAGAAAGGTATAAAAACGTGCAGAAAGGAAAGGCTTTCTGTAGGAATTCAGATTGTGCCTGTTTAGTGGAGGAAAGTTGAGGACCATGTCATCAGCTTGATGGGCCTATTCACCTTCATTTACATGCTCCACATAGGATTCAAGTGTCCACTTACATGGTTGGACCATCATGTCCCACACAGAACACATAATTGAAGGCTGCAACAAAATGGTGCCCCAGATCCCCCTGGGAACAGAGTAGGAGAGGTTACATGAAGATGGAAATCTGTGCATTTACACAGATGTAACCAGGGATCCTGGGGAGCCAAGCAGAGAGTAGTGCACCCCCAGTCAGAGGGTAAGTGCCAGCAGACACAGCAGTCCTCAGAGGAGGACTACCCTGGGTGATTGCTGGAGGTCTGGCACTGCAGATACCACAGAGTGAGCTTAGACATGACTTCAGCTCCAACGTTTCTCTGCTTCTAAGTGCTTAAGGTGGCGATACTGATGCTGACATTCTTTCAAAGCAGGGCTGTGCTTTCCTCGATGTTTGGTGGGTTACGTGCCCAGTGACTGCCTCTTCTGGCAGTGCTGGTGACTGGTCTGAAGGCTCTTCTTCTGACCAGTAGACAAAAGCACAGTGAAAGTGCCGAGTGGGGTTGTAAATACTCCACTTTAACATGGGGACTCCCCGCAGGAGCTGGGCCATGCTCCCCACGACGCACACCGAAGCAGGGCAGAGCTGTGGAGCTCTCACAGCAGTCCAGGAGCTTGTGCTGGTCTCACTGACTCTGCAGATCGCGCACAGAAGGGCCCCTCGGCAGCCAGTCCGTAGGTGCAGCTGCATCACACTCCGCGAGCTGGCAGGAGAGGCAGACCCCGGCGGCTTTGTACAGTTACAGGGCAGCGCGGGCAGACCCCAGCCACGGCTGGCCTCGGGAAGTCCGTGCGCTCGCTGCCTCCTGCCCGGCTCTACCCCGACGGAGCCGGGTACCGGGAGCCCTCCTCCGGTCCCCGGCTGGAGCGCGGCCGAGCTCGCAGAGCGCGTCCTCGGGCCGCCCTCCGGCCCCGCGGCGCCCTCGCCCGCGGCTGCTCGCCCCGCGGAGCCCCGCTCCGAGCCCGCCGCGGAGGTTCGGGGGCCGGCAGCGGGCGGCCGAGCCCCGCCGCGCCCGGGGCGGAGACGGGCGCTGCCCCCAGCGCTGCGCGGCGGGAGCCCGGCGGGTGCCTGGCGAGGGCTTGGTCCTTCGGGGCTCCCCATCCCGCCCGCCCGCAACCAGCGGCCGGGAGCCGTCGGGAGCGCCGGCCTGGGCCGACTTCGGGGGACGGCAGAGCCGGAGCGCAGCAGGGCTGGCTCGCCCCGTCCGCTGTCCCGGGCCCGGGGGCGGCCCGAGGAACGCTGTGCCGCGCAGCGCAGCCCCGTCCCGTCCCCCACAAAAGCGCCCTTGTGCTGGCCCCGTAATTGCTAATCATCAATCACCATTAATAACAGCTGATGAGGCGGGAGGGGGAGGCGCCTTCCCAGGGGCCGGCTGCGCCGGGGGGAGCGGGGAGCCCTGCCCCGGCGGAGCGGGCGCTGAAGGAGGAACTCGACCGTGATGTGCGGAAGATGGATGAGAGCAGAGGGCGACACCCCCGCCCGCCTCCCCTCCCCACCCCTCCCCTCCGCGGCCCGGCCCGGCCCCCCCGCGGCGGGGCGGGCGGGCGGGCGGCTCCGAGCGCGCCTCCACTCCGCCGCGCCGAGCCAGCGAGCGGGCGGGCGGGCGGCAGCTCTCGCCGGGCGCCGGAGCCCACGGGAGGCGGCGGGCGCGGGCCGGGGCCGGGGCCGCGGCGGGGCCCGGTGGCGGCGGCGGCGGCGGCGGCGCGGCGAGTTGGCGGCGGCCCGAGCTCGCCGGAAAGTTGGTGCCGGCTGAGCCGGCGGCGCCCGCTCGCCATGCAGAGACCCAGCGGCCAGGGGACCGCCTTCTCCATCGACTCGCTCATCGGGACGCCGCCGCCGCGCTCCGGGCACCTGCTCTACACCGGCTACCCCATGTTCATGCCGTACCGGCCGCTGGTGCTGCCGCAGGCGCTGTCCCACGCGCCCCTGCAGTCGGGGCTGCCGCCGCTGGCGCCGCTGGCCTCCTTCGCCGGCCGCCTCACCAACACCTTCTGCGCCAGCCTGGGCCAGGCCGTGCCCTCCATGGTGGCGCTCACCACGGCCCTGCCCAGCTTCTCCGAGCCCCCCGACGGCTTCTACCCGCCGCAGGAGCTGCCCCCGCCGCGCGCCAACCCCGACGCCGGCTGCCGGCGGGGCGCCGAGGGCCTGGAGGCGGAGGAGCTGCCCCCGGGGCGCGACAAGGGCCCCCCCGAGCCGCCGCTGCACTTCCCGGACCCCTTCCCCGGCCTGGCAGGTAAGAGCGGCGCGGGCCGGCCCCGGCCGGGGGTTGCCAGTCGCCTGCTGCGATCGCCGTCCGGTCTCGCCCGGGAGTCCCGCAGCCCCGAGGGGCCCCCGCGGGGGGCAGCGCCGCCCGCCCGGCCCCTCTTCGGGCTCTGCCCGTTTCTCCAGCGATGGCTGCGGGCGGGCGGTACTGCCGGCCTCCGAGCTCCACGGGGTAGGGTCACCGGAGCCGGGTGCGCTGGGACCGGGGTGCTGCGGACGGGACGGCCGGGCAGCGGTGGCCGTGGCGGCGGGCGGGAGGGACCTGCCCCCGGTCCGTCCCGTCGGTTCGAGCCGGGAGGACCGTGTCCGTTCCGCTCCGGACCGCCTCCGCCGCTCTGCAGCGAGCGCAACTTTGGCGGCTCGGAGACAAACTCCCCCCGCCGCGTCCGGCCACGGGGAGGGCGAGAGCCGCCGCTCGGGGCCCCGGCGCAGGGCGGCCCCGGCGGGACGGGGCGGAGCGGAGCGGGCTCCCGGAGCCGATCCCGGCCCGGCGGCGCGGAGCTCTCCGAGGTGCTGGCACCCGGCCCGGGGCGAGCGAGGCGGAGGGGCCGCCGGGCGGCCGCGGCGGGTCCCGGTCCCGCTCAGTGTCAGCCGCGCAGTGTCCCCGGCACGGCGCCGCGTCCCGGGCGGACCGCGGGGCAAGGATCTCCGGGCACGGCCGGGACCGTGTGCGGGCGAGCCCGCAAGCCCACCCCGGGCCGGGTCCCGCCGCGGCATCCCGGCGCCCCCAGCCCCTCCCGAGCCCGCGATGCGGGGCAGCTCTCGTGGCCCGGCGGCGGCGCCGCCCGGAGCCCCTCTGCCCTTCCTGCCTGCCAGCCGCCCCGTGCCGCTGTGCCCGCAGCCTCGGCGCCGGCTTTGCCCGACGGCGCGGGCAGGCGGCGGCTTCGCTCCTGCGATCGCGCTCGGTGCCGGCCGCGGGCCTGCTCCCGCTGCCGTGGCGTAGCCGCGGGGCTCTCTCCTTTGTGAGCCGTGCCGCTCCCGAAGGTGCGGGCGCCAGCCTCGGTGACTTGTTGCTCCGTATTTCTCGGCCAGCTCCAGCTCTTGCTCTCTTCCACCTCCACTCCTCCAGCGCAGGGATTGAGGCTTCTCCTCTGCGGGGAGACTGAGACAAACCAGCCCCTGGCACGGCCTGTCGGTCCTGAGAGCTGCCTCCCCTGGTCAGCCCCGAGATCCACCTTTGTCTCATAGGCTTCCCGGCATGGATGCGTGCTGAGCAGTCTTTGGTGCTTTTTGCAGTGCTCGGCTACTTGTTCTTCATCCTCCCTTTGGCCTCTCCTGGGTAAGCCCGTGTCTTGCCCTGCCTTCTTCTTTGGTCAGAATACCCCATTCGGGTACCCCTGGAACCCAGTTTAGGACAACTGGAGCATTTTGCCTCCCTGCTGCCTTTATTTTACAGAGGCTTTGGTGATGCTTCGGTGCTCCCAGGCCTCTGTGCTGAGTTGCAAACCAAGTGCAGACTCACATTTGTTTGGAAAGCCTCCTCAGGGGGCAGAACTGCCCAGGCCACCCGCTGTCTGTATGACCACAGCCTCTTGGTCTATAGGGAAATGAACTGTACTGTGCTTGATCTCCCTCCATGGCTCCTCTGTACATAAGCCCAACGTGTTCTCTCCTCCTGAGGGACTCAGATGAGCTGTTCTGAAAATTGGACATTTCTGAAATTGAGAAATTGTATCTCTAAGGCTCACCCTGTTGTGACTGCTTCGTGTGATGGAAGGAAATATGTCTTGTTGCTGCTGTTTGCTCACTGCTGCATATTGGCTGTCTCTCAGCACTGTGCTTGCTCTGGAGCCACGAAAGATGCTTGTCCTTCTGCCCATGTGGAGCTGTGTGGGCTCCTCTGCCCAGGCCCAAGAAGATGTGTCGGATCAAATGTGTCTGTCTTTTCCTTTACCTAATGTTTCTCCTGACTGTACCCATCCCTTGCAGATGGACAATAGGGCTTATTTTATCAACCAGCTCAGATGGAAACCAGGATGGTAGCTGTGTTTTTTTTTCACTGTTGAGAAAGTCAGAGAAAGATGATTCATATCAGGAGATTCCTAAAACCACCTATAGTGCAGTTTGCTCTAGCATCCTGTCCATGACCCTGATGAAGAGCAGCTGTCCAGAGAAAAGTAAGAGAGCACAAGCCCATGCAATACTTTCCAAAAATGACACTTCCCCAGCATCCAGCCACCTGCACTTCAGTGGCTTCCCAAGCTAGCTTTTATTTCTCTATATTGAGTAACCTCTGACCAATTCTTCTTCTTTGACCTTACCTAGTCTCCCTTGGAGTACACCAGAAAGGAGAGACAAACTTGGCATCAACCACTTCCCTGAGGCAAGGTGTTCCACAGATCTCTCATCTGTAGAAGAACCATGTGAAGTAGCTCCTTTTGTCTGTCTTGCTGACATCAGTTATACCCTCTTCAGGGTATAATTCTGTCCCTAGACTCCATTGGCACCTCCATCACACACGTGCCTGCAGAGACAAAGTCAGTTGCTTGCCAGATCAGTCAAATGAGTCAATGCTCTATTTTAGGACCTCTCTCTGCATCTACTGGGTTTCAAACTTGCTACCAGTTCTTGTCACACTTGTTGGGAGGGGAGTGGCATGTAGGGGAAACTGGTAGTAAGAAGCAGAAAAGCCTGGAGGCTGCTGTGTAACTACAGCTACACCAAGGAGTGTGACCCCCAGGCAGTCAATGGTATTCAATGCCCTCAGTCCTCCACACCTCCTCTGAGAGCACATTTGTTCCTGAGTTGCAGAGGTCTCCACCAACATCTGAAGTCTCCTCAGTTGATGTAGTAAATCCATGTTCAGTTAGGATCGGAAGCTTTAAGTTGTTTCCTATGAGCATGACAAAGAGCTCTTGAGTGTTTATCAACACAGTGCTCATCTGGCTGTCACAACACCCATTCTTGATCTGGGTCCCCCTGATCCTGCTTGAATAATGTTGCTACCTGTAATACTCACCGGTCTCTCATCACTGTGCTTATCAAGTCCATAATAAGATCAATGAACAGCTGGGACTTTGTGAAGAGCAAAGAGATGGATCAATCTTATTCTTGGTCTACTGCGTTCTTGTCGATTTTTCAAAGGCACAATACTTTGCTTCGTGACAGCTTCTCAACCTGCTCAAAGGCCTTTGAAAATCTCCGTGTACCTCCCCACCTAATGGGTGGGTTCTGCTGCCTCCACTACCTCCCTGATGAGGACATGCCAGGTGATTAGCAGACCAACATAACAATTTTCTTTGTAAAAAACCCAGTTTAGACTCCGTCATGTGGTTCTGAGTTCCTTACTGCCAACTCAATCTTCTGTAAGATACAGACTAGTCAGAGACTTTAAAATCTGGGGCCTGGCTAAGACAAGTGTATCCAGAGATAGTACGTGTTTTACAAGGTGACACATTACAGTTGGTAGCTCAGAGTTTCTCCAGTCCCTTGGTCCAGTCGGGACCTACAAGAGCAAACTCCCAGATCAGTACTGTCTGATAATGTGGCTGCTGATCCCATCCTCCATCAGCAGGGAAGAGCAGAGTCAGGGCAGGACTTATGGGTACTCTTGGTGAAGATGATGTCCTCAGAAGAGCTTTCTTACCTTCTCAGTCCTTGTGCTCCAAGTGGGTAGAAGGGGTACACAGAAATGAAAGCTCTCATTTTCTTGAGCAGAGCTAATGCTTGCAGGAGGCCATGCACCGACAGCCAAAGTGCTTCATGCCACCTGCTGCTGCTCCTCAGTCCCCCAAGCACAAATTTTCTAGGTCTTTACTACACTCCTGTGCATATGGAAGATTTCTCCCTACCCCTAGGCCCTCGTGAAGAAAGGTCTGTCTATTCTTCTGCAGCAAAATAGAGATGCAGGTGTTTCTTCTGTGTAATACAGGAGGAACAGAGACAAAATTCTAGATCTCCAAAGTCACTCACCTGCTCTCTGGAAGCCACAGACTTGCTGCAGGACTGACAGGGGATGTAGGCTACTCCCCAACATCCAGGCTCACAAGAAGGTCTCCTGGGCTCAGGCAGTTTCTTACAGCTGCTGCTGGTGTGCTCACAACCCTGCACCTTCAGGCATCTGAGGGCTGTCCTCCCTTCCCCACTGAGAATGAAGTGAGCTTTCTGGAGCTCCAGTGGCCCAGAGTGCATGTGCCATTCCCTGGAGACTGCTTAGAAGTTTGGAGGGCTGCTGCTGCTCCTGTGTGTAGGATTATATTGACTGGTGGTGCTTCAGGACTAGCTCAGCAGCAGTTCCTGCCTTTGGGTTCAGCTTGGAGTTTGCTGATCTCTTCTAGTCTTCGGCTGTGATGGCAAAACTTTTTCATCTCCTTGTGGGTGACCATGGATCCTCTCCCTTCATCACCCCTAGCTATGGGCAGGACCATCTTCTCTCTGTCTCCTGTGAGGTCTTTGCTGGAGCCTTTCTATCAGGGAAGTGACTGGCTTCCAAGCTTCTTTCTTCCCCATTGTACCCACCAATGTTCTCCTTTGCTCCATGGCTGTTTAACCATTCAGGAGGCACCGGCTGGGATCACAAGAAAGCAGCAAGAAGGTGGATTCCCCCCCCCCCGGCCCCCCCAATATTCTACCAGTGTTCTTGCAGGCAACATAACACAGGTGTCTCCTGTGGTTCAAATTCTTCCTCCTGTGTGGGTGGCCCGGAATGCGGTCCTGTCTGTTGGGTGATGCTGGCAGCCTCTAACCTCCTCCCTGCACAGAATGGCAGGGGAAGCTAAAGCCTTGATCATCAGCTGCCTAAGCATGCTGCTCCCTGGCTGCACACCTCTGCTGTAGTGCAGGGCCAGGAGCGGGGAGATGGCAGCAGGATGCTTCATGTGCTGTGGAGCCCTGCAGAAAGGTTTGCTGCCTGGAACCGGCTCGGGCTGCTGTCTCCAGGAGGGTTCGGCTCCTCTGGGCCGGCCCTGTTCTGGATGAACCCGAATAGATGCAGTGGGATGGGGCAGAGGGAGGGCTGAGCTCAGGGACCAAGCACAGATTTCGTCAGTGCAGAGGTCTGGACAAGCCGTGGGAGGACTGTGATGTGCTCTGCTGGGATGAGGCATGGAAGCTGCTCCAGCCGGGTTGCGGGTGCCGGGGGTGCCTCGCTCCCCGCGATGCCTGCGCATGCAGCGGGTCTGGGCTGCGGGCAGCGCGGGGCTGAGCGTGCGGGGCTCCAGGGGCAGCGGCACCCCGCTACAACGCCGGCTGCTGGGGACGCCGTGTCCGCGGGGGGCGGCGCGGGGCCCGCGGGATGCGGCTGCCGGGGGTGTGGGGGGGGGCGGGATGGGGCCGGGAGCCCCCGCGCCAGGGCCGCGGCTCCGGGGAGCGCGGGGGCGGGCGCTGACGCTGTGTGCCCCGCAGACGGGAAGGCGTACAGCTCGGACGAGGAGAAGCTGGAGGTGAAGTCGGCGGCCACGCCGTGCAGCGAGCGGGAGGAGGAGAGCTCGGCGGGCGACAGCGAGGAGGAGCCCTTCCTGGACGGCTCGGCCGCCGCCGCGCTGGGCACCAAGGGCAAGGGCAAGGGCGGCCCCGCGGCCGAGCAGACCCCGCCGGGCTCCGGGGCCGGCAAGAGCCGCCGGCGGCGCACGGCCTTCACGAGCGAGCAGCTGCTGGAGCTGGAGAAGGAATTTCACTGCAAGAAGTACCTGAGCCTGACGGAGCGCTCCCAGATCGCGCACGCCCTGAAGCTCAGCGAGGTGCAGGTGAAGATCTGGTTCCAGAACCGCCGCGCCAAGTGGAAACGCATCAAGGCGGGCAACGTCAGCAACCGCTCGGGAGAGCCCGTCCGCAACCCCAAGATCGTGGTGCCCATCCCCGTGCACGTCAACCGCTTCGCCGTGCGCAGCCAGCACCAGCAGATCGAGCAGGGCGCCCGGCCCTGAGCGCCGTCGGGGCTCTCGGACCCTGGGGCGGGAGGGCCGCCGGCAGCGGGGAGGGGGGGGGGGCCGGGGCAGCCCGCATTCCTCTGTACATGTCCCTTATTTATTCCGTGTAAACTCTGTACATACGGCAGCCAGTCCGTCCGTCCGAGCCGCGGGGAGCGCGGGCCCCTCGCGTGTCCTGGCCCTGCCTCCGGCCGCGCCGGGCCGGGGCCGCGCTGTGCAGGAGCGCCCGCCCGTGTATAGCTGTGATTTCAATAAATTATTTTCTATGGAGCCACGCCAGGGGCTGCCGCGGGCCGGGGAGGGCGTGCGGCCGGGGCCGGGGCCCGTGGGCACGGCGGGGAGCGGCGGTGGAGTCGCGGGCGCCGTCGGGCCTCGTCCGACGCCGGTGCAGCCCCTGCCCCTACCTGCTGTCCCCAGGACTGCCCCGAAGCCCTGCACCAGCTCCTGTGCACGTTTCTGCTGCCGGCACCTGCAAGGCCCCGTGGCGCAGTGCCCGCCTGCTCTTTGGAGCCACGCTGCTGCTGCTGGAGACGTGCCCTGGAGCCTCTCCTCCTCCCTCAACCCCGAGGAGCCCCTCCCTCCCCCCCCCCCCCCCCAGCTGATTGCAGCGTGGGGAATAAATGGGGAAATCCTCCTGCAGCTCCGGTGCCTTATTGTCACTGAGCCCCGGGGCACTGCTGCGTGCCCCACAGCTGCGTGGAGGGGAAGGTGAAGGTCTTGCCTTTCCTTGAAAACCTCAGGCTGTCTCACCACTCCCAGCTGCTGCTTCTCCTGATGTGCAGCAGTGAGCACAGGGCCAGGGTGGATGAGACAGTGCTGGCACTGGCACCGTGTCCTCTGCTCCAACCTGCAGCAGGAGCTGGGTTTCGCTGTGCTGATGCAGGAGAGGAGTTTCAGTCTCCCTGAGCTCTTGTATCTAGGCTAGCTCGAGCAGTCCTGTTCATGAGAGCCGCTGCATGAGATGCTGCTTCTGAAGCCAGGAGGTGTCTCATACCTGAACCCAGCCCCAATGCCTGATGAAGAGCCAGTTTTGTGCAGGGTCCAGCTGCACACTGTCAGTAGAGCAGGCAGCCCTGTGGGTCCGCTGCCAGCGGGGTGTGCAGCCATCAAGGCCTTTGTTGCTGGTTTGGAGAACATCAGCCAGGGAGCTCGTGTGGTAGCAACACCCATTGCAATCCCACCAGCGGCTCCTGGACAGGGAGAAGGCTCTCTCCAAGTGTGTAGGATGTTGCTGCTGGGATGCCAGGCAGGATTTCTCTGAGTTTTGACATGGAGTTTGAGTTACTTGGGGTCCAGCTGGTCATTGGCACCCCTCCCTTGGAGACACAGCTTTTAAGAGTGGGAGGCACCCTGACAACCAGAAGCTGACTTCACAGAATTACAGAATCACAGAGTTAGAGAATGGCTGACGTTGGAGACACCACTAGGTCCACCTGGTCCAACCCTTGCTCTAGCAGGGCCACCCAGAGCATGGTACCCAGCACCATGTCCAGGTGTCTTTGGGACATCTCTAAGGAGGAAGGCTCCCCAGCTTCTGTGAGAAACCTGTGCCAGTGCTCTGTGATGTGCACAGCACAGACGTGCCTCCTGATGTTCAGATGCACCCTCCTAGGTGCCTGCCCTGATGCCACAGCAAGGGCTGGCACATCTCCACGCTGCCTGGGGCAGGCCCCTTCCCCAGCCTTTTCCTTTTCAGCAGCGATATTCTCTTAATTGGTAGCACGGCTCCACGCTCAGCCTGCACAGCTGAGTTCTCCTGGACCTGCAGAGAACCAGTGAGTGGCTCTGCCTGTCCTGAGGCTCCTGGCTCTGGCCAGCCTGTGTGGGGGCAGCCCACACAGAGCAACTGCTGCAACAAAGCTGTGCTCCTGGATGTCCCAGGTGGGCGCCTGTTTCCAGGGAGATGTCTGGGGCAGGTCCTGAGATGGTTCTGCAGGATCCTTTCATGACGTGGATTCTCAGCACCTGCTGGGGCAGCAGAGCACAGCTGGCTTCTTGCAGCCATGGCTGGACAAATTCTGCCTCGGTCCCTGTGCCACTGAGCTGCAGGGAAGCAGTGTGCCCAGGGTGGGCTCGTCCTGCTCGGGTAGCAGCATCTGTTGGCCTTCGCTCTGGATCGGGGAGGTGGATGTCCTCGGGGAGCTGCTCCCAGCTGCGCTGCCCCTGAGCACCACGGCTCTGGTATTCCTTGCTTCTCCCTTCTTGGGAGAACATTAACTTACCTACCCTACACAGCTACCAAATGGGACAAAACGCCATTTCCAGCAATTGCATCAGCTCCTGCACATGAGCTGATACAGGTACATCTGGGCCAGACTGGAGAAGGGGAGAGAATGAAGAATAAAAGAATTATGCAGCAATAAGCAGCTGCTCTGTTACTGTAAATGGGTCCACATGAGGGGTCTGTGCCACAGCAGCCTAGCATGGCACAGCAGTACAATATTAAATACGGGGCTCTGAAAATTTCCCACAGCTCCAGGGTTGGGGACAGTGTCACCTGAAAGGACTTTAAGCTCATTTTAGGGTCCAAGAACTCCCTTTTCTCACTTTGTATTTCTAGCTGATGCTGTGGTTTGGTACGTCCTGCCCCAATGTCAGCGTCAGTTTGTTGTGTTCTTACCCCATCTCCCCCCTCTCTGCACCACACCATCACCATCATGAACTCTGAGTGCAAAGTGCCCCTGCTGTGGCTGCACACTTGTGCACGGACTGCCTGGAGACTAGATCAGCAAAAACAGAGCTTTCAGCTGCTCAGAAGTTCATTTAAAAAAAAAAAAATTTTTTTTTTTGGTCCTTCACAGTCCAAGAGCCACTACACAATGCAACCCTCCAAACACTGGTGTTAATATAACTGAAAGTGCTGCGGAGAGCTGCAGCTCAGCCTGGTGCTGCTGGAAGCGACAGATTCACTGCTGTCACCAGGAGTGCTGGAGAGAGCTGCAGAGCAGCACAGTGCCCCTTGCGCTGTGCAGAACGGAGCTCCCCGGGAACCTCGTGCATCGCAGGGAGGCTGCTGCCTCTTGCACAGCCCAGAGCACAGCGCTGCAACGCTCCAGTGACCGGCACTGCGTGAGGTGGCTCCAGCACCTCCCCAGCACAAGAGATACTGGGGCAGAGGGTGCGCCAAGGCTGGAGCTAGAGGTGCTGCAGCATTTAGACAAGGGGAAGTGGGGGTGAGAGGTGGGGGGGGGCTGGAGGGGAGCAACAAAGAAAAGCTGGGCAGTAAAGACAGAGCCTTGTGTGACAGGGCCATGCAGGTAGGAAGGGAGCTGTGGAGGTCTCTGTTCCAGCTCCTGCTCAAAGCCAGCCTGCTTGGCTAAGGATGCTGAGAAACTTGTCCAGCTGACTTCAAGGATCTCCAAGGATGGCAATCCCACAAGGTCTTAGGGCCCCTGGTCCAGTGTCTGACCACCTTCCCGGTGCTTGTTTTTCCTTGTACCAAGCTGGAATTTCCCACGTATCAGCTTGTGTCTGCTGACGTGTGTCTGGGACTAAAATCTGTTATGTGGTACCCAAATGTGTAGGTACGTACATATGTACATACACACACACAGACATTAAAAGGAAGATACAGCTACATAGAGATTGTATATATATGGACATGCATTTATTTCTACGTTTCTACATATATACATATACATACAAGACCTTTATTTTCCCCTCGTGAGGACAATTGCATCCTTTACAAAAGAGCAAATTTGACACAGACCTGCTCACTCATTTGTCTAGAAAATGGTTCTTAAAGAACTAGGAAAGACGTAGTGATTGTGTCCCACGAGATATCTGTTGACTCAGTGGTCCCCTCTCAGGACCAGGTTTACCATACAACAAAGATGGTTCACGGCATTTTCTAACAGTGAGGTTTGTTATAAATGGCTGTTAAATTGTTAAAACATTCCTCACAGGTTGAATGAAGATTTGCTAGGCCACAGCACAGTGCTGGTGCTGCTGTTTGTTAATTTGCCTGTCCAGGACTTGCTCAGATGCTTAGCGGAGCTGCCAGTGGCTCACAGAGAAGCTTCCCAGGCGGTCATGCCATGCTTTTATTTTCAGAGCTGGTGTGCAGCAGTGGCTGCTGTGGGCCCTCTGACCCCAGAATAAGCAGACGGTGCAGGGCAGAGGAATGCTGCACTGTGCTCTTTTCTGCTGCCCTGCAAGGGAGCCTGTGCCATGGGGATGTGTGTGTGTGGGGGGGTGTCCCCAGGGAGCTGCTCACCGTGCTCCTGGACTCTCAGGAGTGCCTGGCCAAGGTCTGGGGAAACGGCTGGCACCACACTTGTGCCCACTCTGCAGCAAGGGTGCACAGCCTGGGGGAGGTGGGAGGTCGATGCACCCAGCTGCTTGGGGCACACCCTTCGAGGCAAATTACACCATGCAATATGGGTGTCATCACTGCAAGACTCCTGCAATGCAGAGAACCTATACTCCCATGGGGAGAAATTGTCTCTGTTAGGGTACATGGGCAGGAGAGGAACAACCTCGCTTCCCACCAGCCTGGCACCAGGGAAGGGCCAGGAGCTCTCTGACCGCCTGCAAAGCCTCCACAGCCAGCCCTGCAGCACCTGCAGAGCTCAGGGTGCAGCTGCAGAGGGGATTTGGTAGCAAACTCCTGGTGGGTGTGCCTTCAGCACCAAAGGGAAAGAACCCAAGACCTGTAGGAAGTTGTGAAGGGCACGCTGGAACTGGGGCTTGGGCGGTGAGAGGGACCACAGCCACACTGCTCTGCCGTGGCTCATTCAGGCGCTGGGTGAGTTGTGAAGCACTTCACGTGCCTGCTGTGCCCAATGCTCTCTGCACAGCCAGGGCTGCCAAATCCACCTAAGCGAGGGGGAAGTTATGGGCAGGGGGTGCAGGTGCAGTAGTGGGGTGTGTTGGTGGCAGATCCTGGCAAGCACAGACCCAGGGAGCTGGGACACTGTCATGCCTCAGCTCTCAGAGCAGAGCTGACTGGAAACACAGAAGTGCAGAGCAGCAGAAAGATCTCTGCTCTGGCCAGCTGTTGTAAAACCACCTCTGCACACAGCCAGTGCTGCCCACAGTCCCCCGCACCCACCTACTGGGTGCTGCGCAGAGCTCCCCCCCCCCGCCAGCTCCCAGTGCTGCCCCACAGACACGGGGCTGCTCCCCTGCAGCTCTCTGTGCAGGCGCTGTGCTGAGCTGGGCTTTCACACATGCTGGGATGTTTGACTTTGCTTCAACCACTCCTTCCCTGTGCCACCCCACACAGCCTCTGTTCCCCAGTTCATTCAGGTGCTGCTGACAGGAGGGTGCAGTGCCCTGAAGGAGCTGCTCAGCCCCACGTCTGAGCAAGCAGCGGTACCCACAGGGCTGTGCTTGGTGCTGCCCAGCCCTTCCAAACCTCTTGCACACCGGGTCTGTCCCTGCAGCCTGCACCTGCACAAGGCAGCTCACCAACATCTTCTGCAGAAGAGCCCTTTGGGACAAGCATCTTTCTGGAAAAGGGCTGGGATGGGTTTGCCCTGGCACAGCAAATGTCCACCGTCTGCACAGCCCCTGAGCCTTGCGCAGGACAGACCAGCGGGTGCTCTGCTACCTGGTGCCCGACCCAGGCTGCCCGTGGCTGCCCGGCCTCAGAGCTGCCTGGGCAGGGAGCACCCCTGGGCACCCTGCTGCCATCGCTGACCATGGGAAATGGCTGGGAAATGCCCAGCGGTGGGCCTGGAAATGTGCCTCTAGGTAGTCAGCACAGTGCAGGTGCTCTGTGGGTATCCGGTATTAATTCATGGGACATAAGGCTGGGGCAAAAAGCCTGGTTTGTAGTTCCCATTGAAATTAACAAGCAGCCGGGCCAGTCATTGATCCCTCACCCCTGCTGTCCTGTTTCTCCCATGCTTTCAGCCCTGGCCCTGTGCTGCTTCCCATCTCCAGCCCCTACACACCCCGAAATACCCACACAAGCTGCCAGGCTGTATCCTGCTGGGTGCCTGCTGCAGCCACAGAGCAAAGCCTCTGCTGGCACAGCCTCACCCCTGGGACTCCTCAAGGTATCACGTAGGCAGCTGTGATAACGCTGCTGCACTGCAGGGAGCCACACTGCAGCTGGGCACACAGGGTGCTGGGGAGCTCTGTGGCGCTGGGTGCACGGGGACAGCCCAGCAGGGACTGTGGTGAGGGTGGGGATAGCACTACAGGGCACTATCAGGCAGATGGCCCAGGGGACAGCTGCATCCTGGAGGGGCTGTGCCATGCAGCACCAAGCCACTGCTGCCCCAGTGGATGTCTGAGTCCAGTGGTGTCTGGTGCCCAGAATCACAGAACGGCTGGGGTTGGAAGGGACCTCTGAAAATCACCCAGTCCAACCCCCCTGCTGAGCAGGATCACCCAGAGCACCTCGTGCAGGATGGCATCCAGGTGGGTTTTGAGTATCTCCGGAGAAGGAGATCCCACAGCCTCAATGGGCAGCCTGTCCCAGTGCTCTGTCCCAGTAAAGAAGTGCCCGCTCATGGTGCAGGTGGCTTTCCCCTGCAGCTTCTTCAGCTCTGCCCTGCAGAAGCACACGAGGTCCCACCTCTGTTCATGGCAAGGAGGGTGATGCAGCGGCAGCCCTGGACAAGGCTCAGCAGCAGCCGCCCCCTTGCCCTGTGGGGATGTCCCAGCTTGGCTGGGGCTGGGACAGGGCCCGTGGGGCTTTGCAGGCCAGCCGTGCCCCATGGGGCCGGTGCCAGCAGTGCGTGCCGTGCCATTGCAGAGGCATGGAGGGCCTCCATCCTGGGGCTGCACACCACGGGCATGTTGATGGCGTGAGCTGCATCCCCTGCTCCTGCCCTGCAGCTCCTGCACCCCTCCGCAGCCTCTGCTGCAGCTCCGCGTTGCAGGCTGGCTGCGGCAGTGTCTGTGTGCGGCTGCCAAGGAGCTGCCGTGGTCCCTGCGGGCAATAAAGGCCCCTGGCCCTGCAGGGCTGCACTAGGAGCAGAGCGTGGCCTGTGCCCTGCCTGGCACCCCCCCAAGCTGCTCCTGTCTCAGCGCAGCCCAGGACCACACGAACCCATACTGGGGCTGAGATGGGCTCGTACAGTGGGATAATACTGGGGCCCAGTGCCGCTGCCATGATGGGGGAGCTGCTGGCACAAGCAGAGGGGTAGCCCCTGGTTCCCCGGGGATCATTTGCAGGATGTGGGCAGCAGCAGGGCTGGGTTGGTGCTGCCATCGTCAGCAGAACCTGAACGGGGCTGTGGGGTCCCTGGGGGGTGGCTGCACACCTTCATGGGAACCGTGTGGACGGGGGGCGGAGGGTTTGGGGGGCTGCTCATGTCCACGTGGTCCCAGGACTGACTTCGCATGGCCCCCATCAGCACAGCCACAGCGCCCAGAACCGGCCTCAGGGCAGACCCTGAAGGCGAGGTGTGGGGACAGGCGAGGGGCTCAGCCCCGGGACAAAGCCGGGTGCAGGACGTGCCCGGGCTGGGGGCACCCCAGCAGCTGGGGCAGGGCTGGGATGGGAAGGGAGGCGCCGGGGCTGGGCCGGGCGGGATCCCGCGCGGGAGATGATGTATGGGCAGATGTATCAGATCGCACAAGATAAACAAGCAGTGAATTTCATCAGGGCCCATCATGGCTTTAATTTGGCTGCCTAATGAGTCAGATCCAGCCGCGCAGATAAAAGTTGTCAGAGCCGCAGCCCTAATGAATTTCTTGCCACTTGTAATCAAGGCAGCTTGTCTGAGGGGGATGATTAATGGGCCCCAGAGGAGCTGCCGTCCCTCGGCTTCCATTCCCGCTAATGCAGTCGCCAGGAAATTAACCAAACCCAGCACCGGGCTGGGGCCGGGGCCAGGGCACGCGTGTGGAGGCACCGGTGTGCGCCGGGCAGCGGGGGGCCGGGCACGAGGGGCAGGCGTGGGCCTGGGGACAGCCCGGCCTGGCTCTGAACACTGCTGGGAACGGTCAGAACCTGTGCCAGGACCGGGATGGGGACCGGCAGCAGGACGCTGGCACACATGGAGATGAGTTACGGGCTGGGGGAAGGGCCTGGGCCATCCACCGGCGGGCAGCAGTGGGGCAGCCCCTGCCATGGAGGAGGAGCAGGGCTGGAAGGGGATTGCGGTGGAGCACTTGTGGCAGGGGGTCCTGGGGGGTGTCCTGATGTGTCCTTTCCTCCCAGCACCACCAGCCCTAGCCCAGAGCCCAGTGCCCAGCCCGTAGCATGGCACAGTGCACAGCCTGGATGGCAAGGGGGGGTCAATGGATCCCCGTGGAGCCCCAAACCACCTCTGTTTAAACTCGCCGTACTGTGTTGAGGGACCAACTGGTCCCAGCGCTTTTGATCTGGAGTGTCCCCTGCCCAGTGCACGTCTGTGATGTGCCCGTCCCCAATCCCACTGCACAGCCCCTGGAACACGTCCCTGTGGTATCCCACAGCACCCGGGGATGCCATGACACAGCCACGGGGGGGCCCAGCTCAGCCCAGCGTGCTGGTTACCAGCTCCGGAGCTGGAGGAGGAAGGGCTGGTCGTCTGCCAGTCTGGGCTGAAAAAACACCAGCGCTCCTCAAAGCAGGAAGAAACATGCTGGAGGCTGCACTGGAGGCCCAAAAAGCAGCACGCGGAAATGCCAGGCTGGCAGGAGGTGGGTTGCTTTATTGGCCTTTATCTCCTTTGCTGCAGGTAACACACACAGGGCAATTCATGGCAAAGAAACAGTATATACAGAGTGTCCATATAAATATTTCCAATGTACATTTTATACACGAGTGATGGAGACGTTCCACAGCAGCGTCCAAAGCCTCGGAAATTCCAGCGCTCAGCTGCAGGCTTGGCCCAAAAACAAGGGAGATGCTCATCTCCTCTCTCCTCTTGCTCAGCCGGAGTCCAGCCCCGCCTGGGCAGCAGCAGGAGCCAGTGGGGATGTGCTGTTGGAGACACTGTGTATGGCTTTGGGGCTTGAACCTGGAGGGACAGTGACTCTACAGACAGACAGACACAGCTGGGGGGCCCAGGGTGACAATCCTCTTGCCCTTCTGGGTCACCAGGGAGGCTGGGAAGGTCGATGTCCATGGGATTGCATGAGAGAGATGCTCCCTTTACATCAGCACGCAGGGGAGCGGTACCAGCGAGGGGATCCCTCCTCTACTGGCCAGAAGCATAGAGGAACAAATGGGGGTGGTGGAGAAACGTGCACCTACCACTGCCCCCACCTGCCCCCCCGCACTGGGGTGCACAGCACAGGAGGGCAGGAGGGACGTGTCCGAGCTGCCCTACTGCCCAGAGAGCAGGTGCAGCGACCGCCACCCCCAGTACCGGCTGTGCAGGAGGGCAGCATCCCCAAACTGCACTATCTACAAGTGAGTGTGGTGGTGGGGAGGCACACAGAAACCGCCTCTCCTCCCCCTGTACCGGTCATGAGAACAGGGTGTACTGAATCCCCCATCCTGGCGGCTGTGGGGCACCTCTGCAGGCTGACAGCTCTGGGTCTGCACAGCTCCCCCTTTCCAGCTGCACAGGCAGAATACACGGGACCCAGGCAAAGAGTAGTGTGCTGCTGGCTGCCCGAGCCAGAACAGGGGGCCTGGCGCAGGATGAGCACGGCGGGTGCAGCGAGCGGCCCCTTGGACGTGCTCTGGTGGCCTTGGACGCCAGCAGGGCTGGAAGGAGCCGCACGGTGAGTGGAGGGCCTGAGGGGAGCTAGACGGCGCTGGGGCTGGAGCCGAGCTCAGCCAGCACCGTGGTGCAGGCGTTGTTGTTGGCGTTGGTGTTGCGGCGGGGCAGGCTGGGGGTCAGCGTGGTGACGGCGCTGTCGCTGGGACAGCCGTGCTGCAGCAGGATGTCGATGCACTCCTGGCTGCCGGCTCGCCGGGCATAGGCCAGCGGGGTGAGGCCCCGAGCGTCCCGGCTCTTCACATCCACCCCGTACTGTGCAGGAGAGAAAGCGGCTGTCAGCAGTACCACGAGGCCCGTGGGCACGGGGCTGGTGCAGCAAGAGCACTGGCACCGGCAGAGGGGCTCCATGGCGCTAGGGCGGGCAGACAGGGAAAGATGAAGGGTGGCCAGGGCAGTGCCCTGCAGGAACACACAGGAAGAGGATGGACAAGGGGCATCCCCAAGACCTGGGGGCAGGGAAGCACCGGGGCAGGGCCAGAAGGGCCGCGGTGGAGGCTGGGGGCCCTGCCTTACCCAGATGAGCAGCTGTGTGAAGACCACGTTGGCCATGGCGCAGGAGAGATGCAGTGCCGTGCGCCCGTCTCCGTCCCCGTAGGTCTCATTCACCTCCTCCTTGGTGCCATGTGCCAGCAGCGTCACCACGAGGCGCAGGTCATCCTCCACCACTGCCCGCAGCAGCTGCTGCCCCAGCGGGATGTCCGACTGGGGCAGTGGAGCCAGGAACAGCTTCTGCTCGTACTTGGCCCGGATCCAGCGCTCCTTCTCCTCCCTGCCAGGTGGGACACCGTCACTGTCACCAGTGTGCGCAGGGGACCGGGCACCAGCGCCGCTACCCCAAATGCACCGCGTGCCAGCAGTGTGTGTGTGTCACACGCAGGACATCTTGCGTGGTCCCTGCTGTGTCCCATCACACACACGTCTGTCACTGGGGCCCTGTGCGTGTCACACTCCTCCAGACCCCGGCCTGACACACACAGGTCCCACTGCACCTTCTTAGGGCTCCTGCTGTGCCCTGTGCACTGAGGGCCCTGCACACACAGCGCCCGCATCCCACAGCCCGACCCCACCGCTGCCACTCCGCACAGGGACACCCGCACCCCACACTGGCACCCCGCACGCTGTCCTGCCCATCCATGACGTGCCAGCCTGGGGACTCTGTCCCGTGCCTGCGTGCGGGCCTCGGCCAGCGGCAAGAAAAGGTTAGCTGCTGCGCACAGCAGCCCCGTGCCACGGGAGGGCCTTATCGCTGCTGCCGTCTCGCCTGGTGCAAACAAAGGCTGCGGCAGCGTCCGTCCCGCCTGGGGCTGCGGGGCCGGGTGGATCGATGCGTGCCGTGCCGCCGCTATCTGCTGCCTTTCTATCCATCTGCATCTGGCGGGCGGCCATCAATGCCCCGCGCCGAGCATGCTCACTGCCGCCGCCCCCTGACCCGCTCTTATCCGTTGATAAGCCTCAGAATGGGCTCTTGTCGGGATGAGTGACAGGAGAGTCGCTCCGATAGGGACAGACAAGGGCCTGAAAGGGACGCACCCCTGAGACCCACACGGTGCTGCCAAGCCGGCTCTGTTAACCCCTTCTGCTTTGCAGCCGGCCGTGGCTCCAGCAGCCACCGTGTGCCATCGGCTGGCCCACGGAGCCCTGCGGGCCCACGGGGGAAGCAGCAGAGGGCTCCTGGTGTCGGGACAGCAGGCAGGACCCAGCCACTGGAGCAGCCTGTGGGTTCCTGCCCACCTCTCCGCTGGGCTGTCTGGCTGCTGCCAACCTCCCTGGTGCCCTCAAGCCTCCCGGTGTGGTTGCCTGAGAAGCATCTCTGCAGTCCCCCCCCTCCCTTACCGGCTGCTCTCAGGGGTGGGTTTGGGGTAGCCTTCCACAGCCCCTTCCCACACAGCGTTGGCCAGGGCGTTGCCGATGGCCGTCATGACCATGAGCAGCTCGCTGGGCCAGTCGTCCAGGTCCAGGGAGCGCACGCGGGACAGGTGCGTGCCCAGGTTGCGATGGATCCCGGAGCACTCGATGCACATCAGGGAGCCCAGGTTCAGACTCGCCCAGTCTGGATCTGCAGGTGGCGAGACCGGGAGCAGTGGGGCAGCGTTAACGGGCAGCATGGGCTCACTGGCCTGTGTCCCCCTGTGACCCCACCAGCTCCCTTCCAGACGCAGGGCCCCCAGCAGCACAGGGAGCAAGGACCCCAGGATGGTCAGAAAGGAGCCACAGGCCAGCACGGAGGTGGGTGAGTGCCACAGGGCCCTTCCCTTCCCTTCCCTTCCCTTCCCTTCCCTTCCCTTCCCTTCCCTTCCCTTCCCTTCCCTTCCCTTCCCTTCCCTTCCCTTCCCTTCCCTTCCCTTCCCTTCCCTTCCCTTCCCTTCCCTTCCCTTCCCTTCCTTCCTTCCCTTCCCTTCCCTTCCCTTCCCTTCCCTTCCCTTCCCTTCCCTTCCCTTCCCTTCCCTTCCCTTCCCTTCCCTTCCCTTCCCTTCCCTTCCCTTCCCTTCCCTCTATCTCTTACTGGGGGCATCGCAGTCCACACAGAAGCTGTTCCCACGCGCGGTGCGGACGGCCTGCATGGCCTGCGCGTCGCCCTGGCTGCCCAGCCGAGCCTGCAAGGAGATTGCAGGAAGCCCTTCAGGCCAGGCTGCCCCCCCTGTGCTCTCACCGACCCCCAGAGGCTGTCAGGGAGCACCAGAAGAACTTGGCCGAGGCCTCCTACCTTGTTTTTGCTGCTCTCGCAGCCCTGCAGGCTGGCCAGGATCTGGCTCTCAATGGCCTGGACCCAAAGCTCTCGCTCCTCAGATGTTGAGGCCTCGAAGAGCCACGTCTGGCCCGTCAGGGACACGATAATGAACTCAAACGGCTCGTCCGGTTCTGGAAGAGAAAGGCGTCCGTGGCACAGGTCAGGGAAGGAGAGGGCTGCACGTGGCAGTCCCTGGGGGACAGCAGTGACCACGGGCAGGCCACGGCCAGCAGCGTCCTGAGCTGGGACAGGCAGAGCCTGCAGGGAGGGCCCAGAGCTCTGCCCAGCCCTGCCCCTGCTCGCACAGCTCTGCCAGTGCGGGCTCACTCCTCTGCACGTGGACAGCTGCAGCCCCATCCCCACCACCCCGGACTGGGAAATGTGGGAACGCTGCGGGTCTGGGCTCCTGGGAGCTGCTTGTGCCCTGCTCCCCATGCCCTGCTCCCCATGCCCTGCTCGTCCCACCCTCCGGAGAAAGCTGCTGGCCTCCTGAGCGGTGGGAGCAGCCCCTCTGCGGGTTGCTGCCCCAACAGCCCCGCTGCTCCCGGGGGCAGCCCGCTCCGATGACCCCCCAGCCACTGCTCTGCACAGCACCAGGCTCTGTGCCCACCAGAAGAGGCAGCCCCAGAAGATGCAGCCTCGTTATTAAAGACCTTCCCGAGCTGTGAAACACGTGGAACCGAACTCCTGACTTCTCATCTTCGGGGAGAGCATTTTTGCTGAGCCCCACAGGCTGCTCGGAGTGCAGGCACCCAGAGGCCAGGTACAGACGCAGGCTGCCTGCTGTGTGCTCGGGGGGCTCAGAGCGCAGGCAGCGGGTGGCAGAGCTGGCAGCACGGGCAGTGAGTTCCTGGTGAAGCCCCTTAGACCCCCCGGAGCTAAGGAAATAGCCCCAAAACAGCCAAGCAGGATGAAAAGCCAGGCTTAGAACGCGGTCTTCTCTGCCTGCTGCTCTGCCTGCTCTAACTCCCTCCCAGCCCGGGCTGCCCGAGCTGGGCTCAGCCCTGGCCATCCCCCCCCACAGGGGGTAAGAGCCGTACGTGGGGCGCGCTGCCTCCTCCCCACCCAGGCACCAGCATTTACCTTTTATTGCCAACTTCAGTAGTTAGTGCAGTAAATGACTTAACTAAGCGGGGCCTGAATGGAATGACTAATAAACGTTATGTCACAGCACACGCTTCAGCTCATAGCAAAATGATTTGTAATTACCTAATTAGCGTTATGCAAATAACACCCTCATCTCCATAATGTGCCTTCCCAGCTCTCTATTAAAAGCAGGGAGTCAACTGCACGGCTCCAGAGGCAGCGCAGAGGCCGAGGGGCGCAGCCTGGTCCGCGGCAAGGCAGGGGGTGGGGGTCCCGCGGGGCAAACCTGGGGGGTGCCAGGGGGGTGCCCCGCTGCGAGGGGCAGCCAGGAGGAACCCGCAGTGCCCAGGCAGGAGGCGGCTGCCAGCCGGGTCCCGTCTGCCCCACCACAGGCACTGCACGCCTTGGGGGCCGCCGGGCAGCCTGGCGGGGGCTGAACCAGGCTGTATCCACAAACACCCCCTCCGAAAACGCCTGCAGCCCCGGAGAGGCTCCTCGAGGAAGGACAGCTTAACGGGGGAGGGAGGAGGCACAGCCCTTCCTCCCTTGCTCGGCTCTTGCCTCCTTTGGAGGCACCACCGCAGGCGTCAGCACGTACCAGGCGCAGCACCCACCCCTCTTCTCTTTCCACCCATGTTCCTGCTCACTGCAGAGCCACCTGAAGGTAGAAGGCTGCTCCTGCTGCTGTGCCCCGGTGGAGAGTGCCATGCTCCTCACAGCAGGCTCAGGATCTTGCATTTCTTGGGGGTTAAAACCTAAGTGAAACCTTGCTGGGAAGACGCCTGCCCCATGCCATTGCTGAGAGCACTGCGTGCTGCGTCCTGCACCGAGCCCAGCAGCACCTGAGGGGGCTTGGGGGTCTCAGTGCTGATGGCATCGACTGGGTGCAGGAATGCAAGGCCTGGCCTCCAGGGAGGACCAAAGGACTCCAGGTGAAGTGCCAGCTGGTTTGCCCTTACCAGGAAGGGGAAGCTGTTTCATGCACTTCATCCTGGGCTCAGCTTGGGACTTCTGGGGAAACGTGGCTGCAACTGCCTGGGGCAGCAGCAGGGGACATGACAGGAGGTGCTGGCGGTCACACGGCCGGACCTGATCCCCTCTGCGATGCAGCTGCCCCACGGGGAGATGAAGCTTGCCCAGCACTTTGTCCCTCCCGCCAGCTCCCACCACTGAACAGACCCCACAAAATCACTGCTCTGGGGAGCTCCCTGCAGGCAGCACGCCTCCTGCCCTAAGGATGTTTGCTGTGCGGGCTCTGAGGACTGCAAATGCCAGCTCAAAAACAAGATTCTAGAAAAATATACATCCAGTAACTTCTGAACAGAGGGAGAAGAAATGGGTGGTGACAGCCAGGTCACTGCCCCTGCCCCTGCCTCCCACAGCGCTGCCTTGCCTGCGAGCACTGCCACATCCTGGGCAAGGGCTGGGGGCACCCGACGGCAGCGGCAGCCCCGCGATGCAGGATCCTGCCACGGCTGCTCTCAGAGGGGTCCCCAGGCCCCTGCTTGGCTCCAGCCCAACTCACAAGCCAGCAGCTGCACCCACCTCTTGCCCTGTCAGCAGGACCCGCAGTCCAGGGCTGCGCTCCAGCTCTCCGAGGCAGCGCCGCCTGCCCCTGTGCCCACCCGGCGGTACAAGAGCACAGATCCCGGCCCCAAAAGCTGCAGGACCCCTTGCTGCAATCTCATGCTGCCTGGGGCTACGCATGAATAGCCAAGGAGGAAGGGGTGGCACCTCTCCCTGGGGAGCAGCGGCTGCCCAGCTGCTTAGGAGAGCATTTGCAGTTCCAAAATCTTGGATTTGGCCACCCTGTTGGAGCAGTGATCGGCAAAGCCGCTAGCAGGGCACCTGCTTTATGGGGCCCTGTCCTCAGTACACCTCTCCCATCCCTGCTCTGAGCTACCTGTGGCTGCTGTCAGTGTGTTGCAGAGCCCATGCCAGCCAGGACCTGGACCCAGAGGTGCTGTCTGATGCTCTTTGGGTGCTGCGGGGCTGCTGCTGCTGCCAACGGGAGCGCAGCAGGCAGGCTGGCAGGCTGCAGGACATGCTCGTGGCTCCTGCCATGGGCTCAGGCGACTCCATCAGCCTTGTTCCTCTCTCTCGCTTGCTCAGGACCTCTCCACTGAGCACAAACCTCAGCCCAAGCCCTCCTGCACCAGCACGCTCCCTGGTAGAGCTGAGGCCAATGCGTGCCCGCTCTGCAGTGCCTGCCCAGGCAGAGGCCGCTCTGCGGGGATGCTGCACCGGGCTGGGCACCAGTCTCGTGCTCCTGTGCCCGGGATGTTCATGAGGTGGGGCAGGTGCTGCCCTCCTGCTGGGCTGCCCGTGCCTGACAGCGGGATAACAGTGAGATTTCTGGGGCTTTGCCCCCCCTTGGGAAGACGTTCCTGCTGCTGCAGCTGGGGGCATCCTGAAGCCCTGGAGTTCCCTGGCCCTAGCCCCCAGCAGTGGTCCGAAGCCCAAAGCCCTGGTGCTGGCATCACAAACTGCCAGACCTCTGTTCCCCTTCCTCCTTTGTGCCTCGTGGATTCCAGCTTTGCTCTGAACAAAGGGCCTGCTGCTCTCAGCACAGCCCTGGAGGAACTAACAAAGGACAACTGCTTTTCTTCCACACCAAGGGGCCTTTTCGCAGGAGAAAACATCCCTTTCCTTTCCTTGCAGCAGGGCAGGACAGCACTGCAGGACCAGAGCTCTCCGGAGGCTTGGGAGCAGCTCGGCTCTGGGAGGAGAGCAGGGAGCTGCGGGGTGACAGCAGCAGAGCCACAGGCAGGGTCCGGCAGAGCTGGGAAGTGAACTGAGGACTCGGCGGCTCCCGTGGTGCACAGAGCCGGCTTCTCAGGTGGTCTGGGACAGGCTCCTGAGCAACCTGGAGGGGCTGCGCAAGTTGGATCAGGTGAGACATCAGCTTCTGGGACAGCACGGGGCTGCTTCAGGTTCCTCTGGGGAGCGGCACAGATCTCTGATGCGGCGGGGGCGTTTTTGGCCAGGTGAACGGGCAGCACAAAGCAGATGAGGCAGACAGGAGGAGTCGCAACACCTCTGCTGGTACAGATCTGGCAGCGAGCCCTGTGCCGTGTGCTCAGGGAGGACAGCGCCTGGCACTGCCAGCAGCAGGGCAAGGCCCCGGGTCCTTCCCTGTGCCCTGGGGCAGGGGCAGGGCTGGCCCTGGCTGAAGGCAGAGCCCCTCTCCCTGGCCGGAGGCTGCCTGCAGGCGTGCTGGTGGGAGTCCATTATGCCAGCTCCATTAGAATTAGTGGGCAGTGGAAATGAACGAGCTTGTCTCTCTCCCTCTTGATGATTTTTTGATGATGTTTTAAAGACTGAGCTCCGTGAAGAGTTGCTGAGCAGAGTACGGTGCGAGCCGGCTCTGCTAATGGGTGTTAACCCCCTGACCCAGCTCCAACGCTGCCCAGCAATGAGTGCTCCAAATGAGAGCAAAATTAACGAGGGCACTTCACGGCAGCCGGGACGGGACGGGGCCAAGCAGCATCCAGACACAACCAGCGGCCGAGTCACCAAGCTGAGAGGGCTGGAGGGCTTGTGCAGCAGCCTCGAGGGCTCACCCCTCAGCAGGGAAGCCAGCAGCCCCCACCACCACCACGCCAGCCCTGGGAGGAAGCATCCCCTCCCGGCCAGCAGAAGAGCACCGTGGGGCTGGGGAAGAGACAGGAGAACTGAGATATCCTGCACACAGCGCCAGGAACCAGCACAGGGGGAAAGGAAGAGGCTAAGGGAACAGTCCCATCGAGGAGCCGGGTCAGGACAGAGCTCGGCTGCCCAAAGGTGCCCTGGAGCTGAGGGGACGGGCAGACTGCGGGACCTGTCACCGCCGCCTGCCGAGGCAGCAGAGGATGCTGGTGAGAGGCAGCAGCACGGGCAGAAGGAGACAGGAGCGTTGTGCTCACAGCTCGTGCCAAGATCCTTTGCTCTGTGCCCAGTGGGAGGAAGCACAGCTTTGAGCAGAAATGGTGCTTTGAGGTGGCTGGAACCACTCTAGCTTTGGTACTCAGCTGGGTGCAGGGATCTGTCCTGCTCTGTGAAGGGC